ACAGCTCAGGGCGGGGGGGCCCCAGCGGCTGACACAGAACTCGGGGAGAGCTGGGGACTCGCGACGTCCACCCCGGAATGGGGTGCAGGCACGCGGAGATGGCCTCGTCCACGGACGCCACGCGGTCCTGGGACGGGCACAGCCCGGTGGCCGCGGGGCCCGGCGTCCCGTGGAGCAGGCAGTGTGGGGGCGCGGGCAGTCACGTCGCCCATGCTGAGCCTGAGCTCACGCGGCTGGCGCCGGGGCGTCAACGTGCTAGGCCGTCAGCGGGAGCACAGCGGTGACGCGCCCCATCGGGGACGGAAGCGCCTTTCCCTTGAACGGGGCTGGTCCCGCCTTATCCTTTGGGTCTCGTTTGAGCGGAATTGGGTCCCCCCAAAATTCACATGCTGCAGCCCTAAGCCCAGGACCTCAGGACGGGACTGTGTTGCAGGTCAGGACTTTAAGGGGGTGACTGAGGTAAAATGAGGCCCCACGGTGGTGTCCTTCTAAGAAGAGGAGGTCAGGACACAGACACAGAGGGACGACCCTGTGAGGACGCGGGGAGGACACGGCCGTCAGTGGGGCCGCACGGCGGGCCCGTCGCTCCTGGTGATCGTGACTGGTTGTCTTCGTTAGTGCTTCGTACTGTTATGATGATTATCATCATAGGTGAACATAGTTACTGGTTTTCCCTCTAAAGTAGCTCCCTCCTGTCAACCCCGAGAACTCCAGCAAGTGTGTGGGTGCACGTGTGGGTGCACGTGAGTGTGTGAGTGTGACTGTGTGTGAGTCCATGTGTGCACGAATGTGTGTGAATGTGTCTGTGAGTGAGTGTGACTGCATGTGAGTCTGCGTGTGGCTGTGAGTGTGCGTGGGCATGTGGGTGTGCATGGGTGTGGGTGCATGTGAGTGTGTGTGTGACTGCATGTGACTGACTGCATGTGAATGTGAGTGTGCATGTGTGGGTACATGAGAGTGTGAGTGTGTGTGTGGGTATGCATGTGAGTGTATGTGCAGATGCATGTGGCTGCATGAATGTGACTGCGTGAGTGTATGAGTGTGCATGGGTGTGCAGTTGCATGCATGTGTGATTGACTGCATGTGAGTCTACATGTGACTGTGAGTCTGAGTGTGACTGTGAGTCTGCGTGTGACTGTGAGTCTGAGTGTGACTGTGAGTGACTGAGCGTGTGCAGGCATGCACATGTGAGTCTGCATGTGACTGTGAGTGTGACTGTGAGTGACTATGAGCGTGTGCAGGCGTGCACATGTGAGTCTGAGTGTGACTGTGAGTCTGAGTGTGACTGAGTGACTGTGAGCGTGTGCAGGCGTGCACACGTGTGAGTGTGAGTGGGCATGTGGGTGTGCATGGGTGTGGGTGCACGTGAGTGTGTGTGTGACTGCATGTGACTGTGACTGCATGTGAATGTGTGTGCATGTGTGGGTACATGAGAGTGTGAGTGTGTGTGTGACTGCATGTGACTGTGAGTCTGAGTGTGACTGTAACTGTGAGGGTGTGCAGGCATGCACATGTGAGTCTGCATGTGACTGTGTGACTGCGTGAGTGTGTGAGTGAGTGTGCATGGGTGTGCAGTTGCATGCATGTGTGATTGCATGTGAGTCTGCATGTGACTGTGAGTCTGAGTGTGACTGTGAGTGACTGTGAGTGTGTGCAGGCGTGCACATGTGAGTCTGCGTGTGACTGTGAGTCTGAGTGTGACTGAGTGACTGAGCGTGTGCAGGCGTGCACACGTGAGTCTGCGTGTGACTGTGAGTTTGGGCATGTGAGTCTGCATGTGACTGTGAGTCTGAGTGTGACTGTGAGTGACTGTGAGCGTGTGCAGGCGTGCACATGTGAGTCTGCGTGTGACTGTGAGTCTGAGTGTGACTGAGTGACTGTGAGCGTGTGCAGGCGTGTACATGTGAGTCTGAGTGTGACTGAGTGACTGTGAGCGTGTGCAGACGCGCACACGTGAGTCTGCGTGTGACTATGAGTCTGAGTGTGACTGAGTGCCTGAGCGTGTGCAGGCGGGTACATGTGAGTCTGCGTGTGACTATGAGTCTGAGTGTGACTGAGTGCCTGAGCGTGTGCAGGCGGGTACATGTGAGTCTGCGTGTGACTGTGAGTCTGAGTGTGACTGAGTGCCTGAGCGTGTGCAGGCGTGCACATGTGAGTCTGCGTGTGACTGTGAGTCTGCGTGTGACTGAGTGACTGTGAGCGTGTGCAGACGTGCACACGTGAGTCTGCGTGTGACTGTGAGTTTGGGCTGTGAGTGTGTGCGTGCTGAGCGTGACTGAAAGTCCGCTGCCACTTTAAGGCTATTTCGTCCACTCACGCTTGTCACTGCAGCCAGCGAAGCTGGTCGGGCTCCGGGTTCACCTCGGTCACTTGCTTTCTCGTCTTTTCCTCCTGTCTCGTTGACTGCACCGTCCCTGTCCCTGTCCCTGTCCCTGTCCCTGACCCCTCGGCCCTGGTGGATTTGCTGTTACTGATCCCATTAATGACCTTCTTTGGCTTCTTCAGATTTGTCAGTAGACGCACGTTATCTGACACCTCGGCCTCCTCCGCCGCCCCCCACATCCCGCCCACGGAGCACTTGCTCAGTGCCCCCCCAGGGCCTCGGGCAGAGCGATGCTCCTCCCCCTCGTCTCCCCATTCCCAGGCTCGGCAGAGGCCGTCTGTCCCTTCCGGTTTCCAACGCCCGGGCTCTTCCCCGCAGACAGGGCGTCTGCTCCAGTGGCCTCATTGGACATTTGGGTTCCACCATCCTGGGCAGCCCGTCACCTCGGGGACAGCGCCTGCCGCGTGCAGGACCAGTGGATGTCGCCCGTCCTGGGCGCAGACCGAGCTAGGCGTTGAGGGCTGACATGGGCCCCCCAGGCCCCCCACTGACCCTGAGGTGACCGCTTCACTCTCCCACCCCTGCCGAGGCCACCGAGGACACGGCTCGGTGCGGTCCCAGCGGGACTTGACCGCCTCGCGGCAGAGGCGCCCGCCTTGGGCAGGGGGGTGGCGGGTTCGGGCC